CTTGTCCACAGCTCTCACCTGGTGTCTGTCTATCTTTGGTACTCCTTTGCTTGTAGAAGCATCGCTTTGCTCTGCTCCATCTTCTCATCTTGTTCTTCCCATGTGCACAGCCATTTCCAAATGTCCCTTTTTATGAGGATGCTAGTCATTGGAATTAGAGTGCCGTCTTAATGACCCCCCTCTTAACTAAGACCTTCAATGTCTCATAAAAGAAGTTTCTTGAGCTGGAGAGATGGCTCAGAGGTTAAGAGCACTGGCTGTTCTTCTAGAGGTCCTCAGTTCAATTCCCAGAAACCACATGGTGGCTCACAACCATCTGTAATGAGATCTGGTGCCCTCTTCTGGTGTGTAGGCATACATGCAGACAGAACACTACACAGTAAGTAAATAAATCTTTAAAAAAGAAATTTCTTTTATGTATTTAGATTATTATTAATTATTATTTTAAAATTTTTTGTTAGTTTTTGAGAATTTCATACCATGTATTTTGATTACCCAACTCCTCCTGGATCTGCCCCCACCTCACTACAACCCCAAATCTGTTGAGTCCAATGTATGTTGCCCAAATACACTTGGGTGTGGGGCCTGCTCTGAAGAGTGGTTGATCCACTAGGAGTCACACTGTTAAAGAGAACTGACTCTCCCTCTCAAAGCAGCTGTCAAGTGCCAATAGCCCTCAGCGAGGAGTGGAACTTCGTGTCCCCCCCCCCCCCCTTGAAAGGGTTTCTTAAAGGGGGTTCGAACTTTCAGTATATGAAAAACTTAAGGGCTATACATAAATCAACCCTTAAGATATACCAAGCACACTGTGTGTGTGTGTGTGTGTGTGTGTGTGTGTGTGTGTGTGTTCCTACGTACTTGTGAAGAAGCCAGAGCTTGAAGATGAGTTTCTTCTTCTATTGATTCCCACCTTATTTATTAATTTTTTGAGACGAGGTCTCTGGATGAGCCTGGAGATGGTCAGGTAGTCTAGCTGGCCAGTGAGCCTTTGGAATAACCCTGTCTCTGTCTCCCTGTGATAGGGAGCATTGCTAGCTCTGCTTTTTCTGTGGGTGCTTGTGATCTGAACGCAGACCCTCATGCTTGTGTGGCAAGCTCTTTACAGGCTGAATGGTCTCCTCAGAATCTATGAGTCTCATTTTAGAGAAGGAGAGATGGAGGCTTCAATAATGCAGTAATTCGTTTAAAATGGCACAGCCAGTAAGTGGTAGAAGGAAGACTGGGAGCCTAGACACCTGATGCCCGAGCCCACGATCTTAACGACGTCATTCTACTGTGTTACCTCTCCTTTTTTCCTTACCCGACCCCCTTCTTGCTATTGATGTAGGAATTTGACACAAACTGAAGATTAGAATTGGTCAAGATTTCTATGACATCTTAATACTGCCACCTGGTGGCAAAAAATGAAAGCTGCCCCCAGTTTTCTGGCAAAGTTAATGTACTGACTTTTCCTACTGCTACAGCTAAGCAGTTATAAGTCTATTTGGACTTGTGAGAACAGAGATTAACAGTCTAGTACTAAATTTAACTCCTTAAGGTAGATTAATTTTTCTGATTAGAATAAGTAAATGCTAGAAAATGTTCAAGTACCTATTCAGGAGGTTGTTATATATTTAATAATTCCATTTTCTCGGAAATTTTATAACTGCCCTTACTATATTTTGGGAAACTTGTTTCTCCTAATGTCCCTGATCTGATAACTCATTCTGACTACCTTTTCTAATGTTCAAACTCAGGACTCAATGATAACTTAAGATCACTTAGCAATTAGTAACTATTTCCTGGTCTTTTGTAGAAAGAAACAAAGGTCTGTACAGAATTGGCTTCACCTTTTAGGGTGCAGTTCCCCATAATAATCTCTTATTTTAATGGCACAATGTCTCTGCCATTATGCATGTTCTTACTACATGTTTGGAAGGCTGTAATATACTCAGTAAGTTAGGAAAAACATCATTTTGAAATAAAATGATTTTAGAGTTGAAAGACACCTTAATGTTTATTTATTCTAGATCGCGCGCGCGCGCGCACACACACACACACACACACACACACACAACTTATTTGCATTTCCAAAGGGGAAAGATAGGGAATCTTGTAGGAAAGGAGTCTCCGAATTGGCTTTTGCAGGGTGACTAAGGTAATTCATCACAGCTCCCTGATGCCTTTAAGGGCAAGACAAAGATCTGTGAGCTTGGCCAGACTCTGGGGCTGGATTATGATGATGGCTCTATCAGAAATTCATTTGTTTTTGTCTTGGATCAAAGACTGTTGGATGCTCCCAGCCACAGCATGTGTGCTGAGCTCAGATGCATGGATGGCATAGTGTAAGTGATGTAATCAATAATTAGAGTACTGATGTTTGTAAATGGTTTTCCTTAAATAATTTCTAACTAGGCGAAGAGATAGCAAGTACAGTGCAAAGAGCATTCCTCCATCCTCAAAGCACATGAGAGAAAGTTGTTAACCTGATGGTCCGTTGTCCTTTATTACTTTGATGTGCATTTTCTACAAAGACATTCCCACTGTTAGGATATATCCTCAATGCATCATAAAGATCAGGAAATTAGCACTAACACATTATACTGTTTAATCCTCAGACTTCATCCAAGTTTGTTCCCATATTTTCCTCTCCAGGAAAAAGGGATCTATTTCAGAATCAAGTAGTGCTTTTAGCTACCACCCCGTTTACTGCCCTCGAACTGCAGCTACCCCTGGCTTGCTTTCGCTTTCGTTATCATCAGACTTCAAGTTTGCAGTCCAGTATTTCGCAGATTGCCTATGAACTTGTTTTTGTGTATGGCTTCCTTATGATCAGCTTGTACACTTTGGCTGAAACAGCACAGATGTGATGCCGTCTTTCCTTGATGATATGAGGGCCCTAACCTCAGTACGCTCCGTTATTGACAATATTCACATTGATCAGTGTTTGCCTGTGGTGTCACTTTGGTAATTAATGATCGTTTTGTGGGCGAGGCACTTGAAATCATGTAAATATTCCATTCCTCATCAAAGTTTTAATTTATTCATTTATTTTGTATCCACACACACCCATGTTTTTCTGTCTTATCTAATGGGTCGCACTCTCTTGTTGATTTTACTGTTAATGATTTTGATATTCAAATTATCCCACATGTTAACAAAGGCCATTGTAAACTGAATTCTGTGATCTTCTGATTTCCAATCATTCTTGCTTGTTGCTGGTATAAAGTTTTCCAAATGACCACTCTCATTCCCAGTCTCTTTAAATATAAGACTTTAACAGCAGTGTGACTTATCAGAATACATATGAAATGTGTACTGATTAACCAGGGTAATAAATATCCTCATATTCTTATCATGACTTTGTGTTTGCTGCCCTGAGCTCCCTTCTTGTAGTTACTCATAAATAAGTAATAGGCTATTGTGTTGTGCAGGTCACTGCTGCTCTTGTAGAACAATGGAACTGTTCATTCTACCTATGTATGTTACTTTTTATTACTCAGATAACTCGTGTTTTTTTTTTTTTTCCTGCGTCTGTCCTGGAGTCATCCAATTTCACGAAGTCTTGGGTCTCTTTAGTGGAGAATATATGCATATCTATATGTATACTCAATATGGAGAGTCCCAAAGTGACTCCACTGTGGTGGTATTGTGTTCCCCAAAATATTGTGTACTCTAATAAATTTATCTGGGGTCAGAGAACAGACAGCCACTAGATACAAAGGCTAGAAAATGGTAGCACTCACACCTTTAATCCTAGCATTCCAGAGATAGAAATCCCTCTGGATCTCTGTGAGTTCAAGGCCACATTGGAAATAGCCAAGCATGGTGACACACGCCTTTAATCCCAGAAAGCCAGCCTTTAATCCCAGGGAGTGGTGGTAGAAAGCAAAAAGATATATAAGGCGTGATGACCAGAAACTAGAAGATTTTGGCTGGTTAAAAATGTGGCTGGGTAAGCTTCAGGCTTTCGAGCAGCAGTTCAGCTGAGACCCATTCCGGATGAGGACTCAGAGGCCTCCAGTCTGAGGAGACAAGACCAGCTGAGGTTCCGGCGAGGTGAGATAGCTATGGCTTGTTCTGTCTCTCTGATCTACCAGCATGGACCCCAATAACTGGCCTCGGGTTTGATTTTATTAATAAGAACTTTTAAGATTCATGCTACACTCCACTGTTTTCTATTTGCACCGAACATGATAGTGTCTATTCCAGTTTTCTCCCTCTGATGCCTGTGACTGCCTTCTCTGGGAATGAGAAGCTTGCTTCTTCTTATCCTTAGTATGTCTACTTCTCTCACCAGTCTTTCTGCCTACACAGTCTCCAATGCTGCTGCCACCCATCCCCAGAACAACGCATACTGTCTGAGCCAGGAGAACAAGGAGCCCTGAAGCAAGCGCAAGCTTCATTTTTACTTTCTAAAGTAATTTCCAAGTTGGGTTTTTCCAAGTTTAGATGTCGGGAGAATTAAAAAAAAAAAAAAAAAAGGTCCCCTGAGGCCACATGCAAAGGAAGGACTGTAAACACACACTGACTAACATTCTGCTTCCTGCTTTTCATTGGATTTTATTTGGGGTGAGGGGGCAGATATGGGAATTGATGTGCAGGCCAGCCTGGAGCTTCCATACATAGGCTCTGAAAAGATTCCACAGTGTCTGTCTTTTTGTGATTGCACGTGTTGCTGTCGAGAGCAAGGAGAACAGAAACTAGAGGGAGCTTTCCAAGCTCCTTGGTCACATCTTTCCCCTGACTGGTGAAAGCATCAGTTGTAACCCACTGGCTGACAGTTGCTGAGGGTCTGCTGTATAGCAGCCCCTGGGCAAGGTGCCTTCTCACAAGGCTGAGCTGAGGAAGGCTCTGGGATAAGGGGTATAGCCAGAACTTGGGGACCCAGGAGGAACTTGTGGAGATTCTGTGCTCACCCTAAGAACTGATCTAGCATTTTCATAAAAGTTCTGAACATTTTCCTTATACGAAACAGGAGGCGTTTGCTTTTCTTTTCTCATTTTTGCTGTTTTTTTTTCCACATGTCTTAGTAATATATTTCATTTTCCACCCATCCACTCTCCTTGCTCCTCCCCATTCTGTCCGGGGAGAACTCATAAATGTCGTTGGTCACAAATCCACTCTCCATACTTGCCAGAGTTACAAACCCACTTTCTGAAGGGTTCACAGCCATGTTGTCATAGTCACAAGATAGGTCATCGGGAGTGGCTTCACCAGAACACACCCGGAATGAGATGTTCTTCAGGTCTGGCCGGGGCTCAGCTAAATCGGCTTCACTTTGTTTTCTAATGACATTGTAAACATCTAGGTTGGGGCTGTTTTCTTGGTGAGGAGTGGGCCAAATGGTGTGTTGCTCCTTTGTGCCAGGGTCTGACTGCTCTTGTTTTCTAGAAGAAGAGAACCAGGCTGAGTATTTGAGCTTAGGGTACTGAGAATATATACCCCTGTTCCTACTGAAGTGGAGGGAGTAACCTCAGGAAGTGACCTAGTTCTACTTCTCACTTACCTACACCTATAGGTTTTGTGGGTCGGGTAGGAGACAACCAGGAAACTGTTATGATCATAGTGATCCTACATCTGCCATTCACTGTCACTAGCTTGGGTTCCAGGACTCCCTTGAGAATATGAGGCCAGAAAGCAAGAGGAGAAAAAAATTATACTAAAAACCCCATTTCTAAGTAAAATTAGCTATTTCTACTTCTATTCTATTTCTATCCTATCATTAAAAGTAGATAACAAGAGTAGAATTAATAATATCATTGACTCAATCACCAATAGAAATCATGTTCCCATATCATATCAGTTATTACAGTCACTTTGAAATGTTTTATGGTTACCTGTACTTCAAAATTATAATTATACCTACCACTAAGAATCATTAATAAAGAAACAATTCATTTTGGGAAATATTTTGCTAAACTATGTAATGGTATATTTGTTTTTTTTTCTTCCAATGCATTTTGTTTGCCACACTTAAAAATATTGTTTAAGGGACTGGGGATAAAGCTAAATGTTACTTGTCTGGCATGTGGAAAGCCCTGGGTTGATCCTGAGGACTGTTTAAAAAATGAAGGAAGGAAGGAAGAAAAAAAGAAAAAAGGAAAGAGAGAGAGAGAGAGAGAGAGAGAGAGAGAGAGAGAGAGAGAGAGAAGAGAGAGAGAAGAGAGGAGAGAGGAGAGAGAATGAGAATGATTTGGGAAGAAAGCTGCAATTCCCCAATTCTAGCAAAGTGGTAAATACATTTAAAGAAACAACTGCAGTGTAAGCCACTGGAAAAATGTATCTGTAGTTGTTTAGCTGAATTCTATTTTAAATTCAAGAGAATTACTAATAGAAACGATTATAGTAATGACTAATACTTTTGAGTGTTTATTATATGCTTGTTATGTGTGTATTCGTTACTTTAATATCACAATAATCCTTTAAGAGGCTTATTACATGAAATAGGTTCTGCATTGGAATTTTACAAGTTTATTTCCAATTGTTCATCAAAGTGAGTAAACTTAAGCTGGATTTGATTTTCCTTCTGTAAAAGTGAGAATGCTAGCCTTCTTGTATGCATACCATGAGGACAGGGAACAAAAGTGTAACTGAGGACAGTTGCATGTACCTAAACTACATGAGCACATGATCCAGATTACATACAGAGGCTGCCTATGCTACCTAGTTTAGCTACTTTTGAAATCAATTAAAAGAAAAGTCAGTTAAAAAGAATTTGGTGCCAGGCGGTGGTGGTGCACACCTTTAATCCCAGCACTTGGAGGCAGCGGCAGGTGGATCTCTGTGAGTTTGACTACAGAGTGAGTTCCAGGAAAGGTGTAAAGCTACATTGAGAAACCCTGTCTCAAAAAAAAAAATTGGCTGATTCATTCTGAAAGGACTGACTTTGTATCAGATGCTTCCCAGAATGCTCTGGAACACATAGTTTTTATGTGGTCCATTAGTCATTCCTTACTCAACAGACTTTTTTGGAATAAGGACCTACATTTTGGAGAGCACTTTGCTAGGTAATACATGGGTGCACAGGAAGTGAATAACACTGTTTTACCTTCCACATTGCTTAAAAATCTTCCACGCACTGAGAAAAGAAAGGACATAGGACTACTGGCTTAGTCACAAATTAGCACAAATGCTCAGCTGAATGCTACCTGCCTGATGTGGACCTAGAGTCCTGAGTCAGCCACGGTTTACTCTCAGTTCTGCACTGATCCTTCTCTTGGAGTTTTCATGGCTTTTAAGGACACCAACTGGGCAGCCTCCAAATCTCAAAGAGTGAGAGGGAGCAAAGGTGTTGATGATGAAGGTTGTACTTGCCTCCTTCTGCAGATGCAAAGCCAGCATGCAGCTGAAAGGACCACTAGTAGGAGGAAAAGGGGAATCAAGCTGGGGATTAGGATGTAGGCAAGATTCAAAGCAGCCCCTGGAAAAGAAAAAAGCATCTATTAGCTCTGGTGATCTCCTCTGGACACCAAAGCCTAATGGAGCTTCCCGGGTGGGTACCACATCAGTGTACCAGCAGAAGTATATTGTTTACTCTTGTGTATCTGTGAGCCAATTATCCAAAAGGACAATTTTGCCCTGGAAGAGGTGGGAATGGGGGGTGGGCTGGGGGGAAGGGGAGGGGGCAGGAAGGGAGAGAACAAGGGAATCTGTGGCTGTTATGTAGAACTGAATGGTATTGTAAAATAAAATAAAAGGAAAAAAAAAAAAAGACCAAAGATGGTTTCAGGTCAGGGCTTACTGACTGGCTCCATGAAATCAGGCAGAACATCATGGAGGTAAGCAAATGTAGAGGAAGAGGTGGCTGTGTATATCATGGTGAACAGGACACAGAGAAAAAGGAACATTCAAGGTACCACATATAAGCTTCAAAGGCATGCTCCCTGTGACCCACTTCCTCCAGCTAGGACCCATACCCTAAAATTTTCAGAATCTTCCATATAGCACTACCACCTGGGGACCAAACATTCAATACATGAGTATTCAGAAGATATTTTAGAGTCAAACTGTAACAAAGAGGTTGATAGTCCTGATTCCACTGCGGGGAGATGACACAGAAGACCCCATCTGAAACCCTTCCAGACCTTGCCCTGGCTGGGTCTTTATTTGGTTGTTCTCAATTTGGATCCTGTATAATAAGATGTGCAGACACTGTATTCCAAAATTCTGTGAGTTCTAGTTAATTGAAGAGCCTGACAGGGCTGGTGGGCACTACTGAATGTGTAGTCAGTTGAATATTAGTGCAGGTGGTCTGAGGACTTCAAGACCTGTGACTGATGTCTGATGTGAGAGGTGTGGAATATGCCTTTAAGCTGTGGGGGGAATCTGCATAGATATTCAGTGTCCGAACTGAATTGCAGTAAAACAGTACACTTTACTTTATGAAGTTGATAATGCTGTCAACTAGGTATGAAAAATGCTAAATGATTAAACTGAAGCACAGATACATTTTTTTTTTTTAAAGTTAAGTTGCTCAGTGACAAAATCCCAGATTTCCCTCTTGAAACTCAGGATGAGAGTGAGGTCAAAAGCTCATTAGCACTCCAGTTTATCACCCCAACTTTTTTACCTTTTATGATGAAGCCTTTTAGATGTCTATCTTTCCCATTTCCTCAGTTTGGTTCACAGATGAATATTGATCCCAGATGGTATGTATTATGGCTGGGTTATTTCACTCTTGTTTTTCTATATCCATTCTTTCAGTCCCTATGCCATCCCACTTCCGATGGTCAGGAAAGTTCCCAAGTCTTGCCTTTACAGAGACAGGCACAACCTTCTACCTCCTGTCTAGTCTCAGTAGTCTTAGGATAGTACCCATTGCATATTTCATGGTTGCAATTAATGTGGTGTTTGCAATGTCACAGATCTCTGCCCAATTTCACCTTTTAAGGAGCTGCATAAAGAAGAAAGTAGGAAGTTTAGCCATAGGTAATTTCTAGTCCCCTTGTCTATTTTCCCCCAGTACCTCTGCTTTCTTTAAATGTTTCTTTGATGTCTTCTTGCTGTGTTTCCTCTGGAAGTGATGGTGTTGCTGGCTCAGTTGCTTCACCTGAGAGAGACACATATGGACTTGAGAGCCTGAAGAAAGGTGCTATAGTCCAGGCATGCTCTGAGGTCCTGCCACATGTAGAGTGGTATGCAAGAAAACAGTAGTGATTTGACCAATGCCATTGATAAACACAGTAAGGTTTGAATTTGTTGCACTAGAAGTTTGTCTTCAGTGTGTGTGTGTGTGTGTGTGTGTGTGTGTGTGTGCCTGTGTATGTATGTGCAAAAATATGTATCTGTGTGTTTTGTGTGTGTGTACATAGTCTAGAGGTGACACCAGACATCTTCCTTTACTGTTCCCCACCCCGTGTTGTGAGACAGTCTCTCTGAACATGGAGCTTGCATATTCAGGTAGATTGGCTGGCAGGTGAACCCTGTCTCTGCCTCCCCAGAGATGCCCATCACTGTGCCAAGCTTTTGGACATGGATTCTGGAGTTCTGACTCAGGTCCGTCCCCATGCTTGCACAGTGAGCGCTTCACCCACAGAGCATCTCCCCAGACATGTCTTCATAGTTTTGGTGAGAACTTTGCCAATGATCAGGCACCACAACAGCCAACAAGCAATATAAAGGACTAAAGTACATAGGGGAGGTAAAATGGCTCACTGCTAGGACCATAAATAATCAGTTGGGCTCATTGATTACTTCATTAGATTAAATTACTCCTTTTATAGTCACAAAATGCTAATAATTATAATAAGCATCCACAATGGAATTTTCAAACCATTACTTTTCAGTTTTGACCAACATAGATAACAGTGGGCAGAGAATGAGAATGATGGGCTAGCTGCCACAATTGGATGTGACAGATATCTGCCCAATTTGCCTGGGCAAACACCAGCGGTCTTCCTGCTGAATAACTGGCTCTAAAGGCCTGGTTTTAAATCTATGAAGGGGACTGTGAAATGGCCCAAATTAACCCAAATTTCATATGACAGACTTACCTCCAGGCCTTATAGAAGGTGTTGTACTTGGTTTCTCTGTAGCAGAAAGAAACAAAAACAAAAACAAAAACAATGCTTACATTTCCCTTCATCTGAATGAAATCAGCTAACGTGTGGCATCTAATTCCAATAAACTCTATTTATTGTCACCTTATTAATTATTGTTATCAGATACCAGAGGTAGGTTGCCTAAGTCAAAGAGTTACTTGAACATGAATACTAGCCTTCCTTCATCTTTACTTCAGTGTCTTTTTAAAAGCATTTAGGAACTTTAATATTAGGCTTTCCAAATGCACACAAAAATAGTATATTGAGTTCCTGTGTGCTGTCATACAACTTCCACCTTATCAGCATGGAGCTCATTGAGCTTCAGCATTGATCCCTACCCCTCCACTGCAGTTCCTGCTTGAGAATGTCTTTAAATGGTCCAGGATATTTTGTCAGTTCCTACTGAGGACATTTCAGAGAGCAACAAAAACACAGTCTTCAGGAAGTGAAAGTTGAGGGATTGCCCGGTTTCAAGGTAGAAACTCTTAGCCTTGAGATACTTAAAATATGTCTAAGAGCTTCTAAGTCATACAGACAACTTATGGCAAATGTTTTTGCTGTTGGCTGACCTGGTACTAGCTTTGAGTCTCTTATGCTAACACAGAAGGGAAGTAATACTTAATCACCATCATCATCTT